TCTGTGTGTGTCTTTGTATGCCAGTGTATGTACATATGTGTATCTATGTGTGTATGTTTCAGTGTGCATCTGTGTGTATGAGTTAGTGTGTATCTGTGTGTGTCAGTGTGTGCGTGTGGATGTATGTGTCAGTGTGTGTGTCTGTGTGTGTGTGGGGCAGTGTATGTGCATACATCCAGCAATCAAACGCTAACTCTACAGGGGTGCAGTATGTGTGTGTGTGTGTGTGTGTGTGAGGGGTGCAGTGTGTGTGAGAAGCATGCAGTGTGTATGTGAGGGTGCAGCATGTATGTGTGTGTGTGTCCAGGAAGGCACACCTTACCTTTGCACAGGAGGGGGGACATTACAAGCCCTGTGTTCCGGTTGTAAAGCCCTGGTAGTCCAGTTGTTAGTGACCTCTAGCCTGCAGCTCCTGAGACTAGAGTTCACTCCTGTTATGAGATCTGGTCTGAGCATTCCCATGGCAACCACAACAATGCTCCGACCTTGTGAGAGGAACCTACAGGACCTTTTGGAATTCCTGGTTAGAGCCTCTGGTGCTCCCTCTTCTCTCTGCTGGATTTCAGTGCCTGTGTGTTGGTGATGGAGGTCTTTGATCTCCCTACTGGCCCGGCATGGCACTCTGCATGGCCGGTGCTTGGATAGTGTCGGGTCTGCATGGGTCAGCAGTGGAGATCCTCTGATCTACCATGCCGGACTTGGCCCATGGCCATTGCGGCCCACCTGGCATTTGCCCAGTTTGCTCAATGGCCAGTCCGGGTCTGCCCTCAACATCTGGAGTGCTGAAGGTTACCTACCCCTGATCTTGCTAGTGGTTGTGGACATTGTAGGCCTTCTGTCAGGTAGCTCAACAGTGATTACTGGTGGGTAGGAAAGAAGAAAGGATGGTCAGCTAAAATTTCGTATTTGACTCCCAAGCCCGAGGCTGACCTCTATATTCCTGTTACATTGAGCATTTTCTTTATTTATAATTATGTAATTTATATATTCAAACTTTTTTGAATTTGTTCCCAATCTTTTTAAATTATTTTTTTTTAGTTTCAAATTATTAAACCAGATTTCTTTCAACTTTTGCTATAGTCTCTGGTTATTTTTATTATTGCCTTGAAGTTATCTCTCTTAGTATCATATACTGACACTGCATGGTTCAAAAATCCACTTAGAAATTAACCCTACAGATCAAGGACAAATAAAAAAAAAATTCTGTTACACTAAATAACATGTTGTGTTTGTGATGTCTCTATAAAGTGAAGATCTCATTGGCAGCTGATCAGATGAAGAATTCCGTTTAATTGCAAATAGTTTTTTCAAATGAAACAAAATTTGAATTTTGTTTTGACCGTTGCTGTGACGTCTCAGAGTGACGTGATTTGATGTATTTTAAGGCTGATGTGATTCAGATGCAGAGTTGCAAGCCTCCAGAATGGACAGGTGAGAACCCACCACTAGTATCGCTCTGAGTGTTGGTCGCTCAGTTTCTCAATCTGACTCACTCTCGCTTTTACACAAAACATTGAATATCATGTTAAACTCACAAGGGAATAATAATGTCAATGGCAGAATATGCACAGTCTAAAATATTTAATTTACACCCAATTTAACTAACTTAAACACTCTCTCTGTATTCTGATACTCATTGTATCTTATCTCTTATACATGGACTGTATCCTGGTCTCCACTCTCAATTTATCCTGAGCTGACAACCAGGGAGATTTATCAAGGAAAATCAGATGCTATTTTAGGTGCAAAATGCTAAATGTTGAGAGACATTTTATGATCTCAATGGTGATTGCTCCTTATTGAGCACTAGAATAGCACCTGCTTTACCTACATTCATTTAATCCTGATCTGGAGACTCTCACTTTATCCTCACTTACATTCTCTCACACATTGATTGTATCCTTATGTGAAACCCTTCACTTTCTCCTGATTTGTTTGTTGATCTGCACTAACTGTTCCCTAATCTGCACCCCACTCACTTTGTCACGATCTGCACCCACTCACTAAGAGTTGACTTTGAAATTGATTAAAACACATGAATTTTCATAATTTTTTTCTGAAATCTAAATGTGTGTTGACATTACTGTGTATCTGTATACAAGGTGTTCTTGCATGTCTGTGTGCATGATATATTTATTGATACTGTCTCTGACAATGAGTTTGTTTGTATTTTAAGAAACATGTTATTAAAATAACATTCTTACATTCACTGGTAATATTTACATTATCTTTTACTTTCTTTATTATTAATATGATTTACATGTTTTGCTAATAATGTTGGGTTGTCTTGATGTTTTGTATCTATGTTTAAATTTTTATGTTGACTAAAATGTTTAAAGGTAATAATAAACAACAAGTCATAAATATTTACTGTAAACAATATATCACAAGCCTCAGTGTGTTTGTATATATGTATGTATGTATGTATATATATAGTTTATGTGTATACTATATGTTTGTGTGAACTATATGTGCATGAACTGCTTGTGTGTGTACTGTATGTGTGTGTTCTGTATTCATACTAGCATTATGTTTTTTTCTCTGCTTCTGTCATACAGTACATGTGTGTTCATTTGTTTATGTGCAGTGAAAGTGTCTGCTTGTGTATGTATTTGTATATGTATTAATATATTAATATCCAAATACTTGACAAACGGTTGATTTAAGGACTCCATGCTTTGATACTGGTTCCAGTGCTCAGCCAGGTGTATTAATATAAAGATACGGAAGGAATCTGGGAGATATAGGCATTCGGGGTACTTCTGATTCATTCATAGGAAAACGCATTTGTATGTTTGTTTCAGTTGCTGCCACAGCTATTATCAAGATTTGGCCATGAGTAAACCACAGAAATATTTTCACACACATGATTGAGTGTCAGTCTCTGTGCTGGTGTTTGCTGTGTGTAGCCGTGTGTGTGTGCTTGCAGTATGTTCAACGTGTGTACTGATGTACCTGTGTGTTTGCAGTATGTTTTGTGCATGCGTTTATGTATTTCTGTGCTTACATGTGCGTAAGTATATTGCAAAATATAGAGTGAATATGTGTGTACCTGTAAAGTTTTCTTTGCATTTAGTTTGGTGTGTGTGTGCATATTTGTAACTGTGGGTGTTGCATGTCTGTGTGTGTATGCTTAGTAAATGTGTATATATTTGTACCTGTGGGTGTTTTTGTATTAGGTTTGGTGTGTATGTCTGTCTTTAGTATGTTTAGTGTGTATATTAGTACCTGTGACTGTTTTTGCATTAGGTGTATATGTTAGCATGTGTTTAGTGGATGCGTGCGTATGTGTTTGTACCTGTGAGTGTTTATGCATTCATCTTGGTGTTTATGTCTGTGTGTGTGTTTAGCGAATGCATGTATATGTGTACCTGTGAGAGTGTTTAGTGTGAGTGTATTTTTATACATGTGTATTTTCTGTATGTTTGACGTTTGTGTATTTTTGTACTGTGTTTACATTATGTGTGTTGGTTTTTTTTTTCATTTTTTATTTAAGCTTGAGCAGCGAGAACAGCAAAAACGATCAACAGTGGTTAATGCAGTAAAACAGAATTATTAGATACAGTAAAAACATCACACATATGAAAGGTATCACAGAGGATTGCATTTTGTGTTTGTTTTGTGTAGTTGTTGTATTGCATTATGTATATTGTGTGCATGTTTGTGTTTACCAGTGTGACTAAAATTGGTCACTGTGGTTACAAAAACGCAGCAGTTACAGTGATTAATCCTCTCAGTGGATATCCCTTTTCACTCACTAAGAAATTAAATGCCCCTTATTTGCATACCTGCCTCCTGTGAGGGGAGTGATGGGGAAATACATTTGAGATCAGGCTCATTTCTGGTAAATTCCCCTGACTGGTGAGAGCCAATTCCACCTTATGTACTCTATTCTTTAAATAAATGTAACATAGAATGCATTATAATTTTTATTAATTTGTATTATAGAAAGAGATATGAACGCTATAAGCATATTATAGTCAGATTAGAGTTATATTAACAATGTAACTTATTTACTGAAAACCCATCCTGTTTGGGAAAGGGGAAACTTTGCAAGGGGGAAACAGGCTATCTTGGATGGGGGCTATCCTTTGGATGGGGGGACAGGCCTTTTAAGGTGGAGATGTAGGGAGTTATCCATTGGATAACTTTTAAATGGGGAGGCAGGCTGTTTGGGTGTGGGGAGGAAGGTAGTTATGCTTTGGGTGGGGGAGACAGGCTTTTTAAGGTAGAAACATAGAATGTGACTGCAGATAAGAACCATTCGGCCCATCTAGTCTGCCCAATTTTCATTAGTCCCTGGCCTTATCTTATAGTTAGGATAGCCTTATGCCTATCCCACACATGCTTAAACGCCTTTACTGTGTTAACCTCAACCACTTCAGCTGAAAGAGTGGTAGGGAGGTAGGTAGTTATGCTTTGGATGGGGGTGACAGGCTTTTTAAGGTGGAGAAGTAGGTAGTTATGCTTTGGATGGGGGGACAGGCTTTTAAGGTGGAGAGGTAGGTAGTTATTCTTTGGGTGGAGCGACAGGCTTTTTAAGGTTGAGAGGTAAGTAGGTAGTTATGCTTTGGATAGGAGCACTTTGTTTGCAGAGATGGGTTATCCTTTGTATTGGGGGTTGGCAGACTGTTTAGGATGAAGATTTATCCTTCAGATGCAAAGGGGGGGAGGTATTTTGGTCCTTGGGGTTATATTTTTGCACGCAATAAGAGATGCAGCTGTTTTTGGGATGGATAATTCTCCTTGGGATGTAGAGAGCACAGGTAACCATGCTAGCTGCGATGAAATATACTACAGATAACAAAAACATTGCGGTTGACAGAGAACCTGTTGGTTTAATTAGAACCTGCCAGTCACAGGGAGCTACAAGAGCATTAAGCAGATTACATGTAAATGTGTATCTCTATGTCATGGAGCACTTGTTAGACATTTAAGTTGATAATAGTTTTGCAAGGTTCATTGTGCATAATACATATATGAATATACAATCACATATAATGCATGCTTCCTCCAGCCTCCTGTTGAAACGCAATAAATTCCTGTACCACTTTAAGAATCTTCGCTGGGCGCGGGGCCGACATGAGACCTATTTGTGTTATATTGTCAAACGGCGCTACAGCTCGGTCTCCTGTGCAATGGATTTTGGATATGTTCGCAATCGCCATGGCTGTCATGCCGAGATGTTGTTCCTGCGGTACCTGTCAGACTGGGTGGGGCAGGACCCATACCGCGCATTTCGAGTCACCTGGTTTACGTCATGGAGTCCATGCTGGGACTGCTCTAAACGCACTGCAGAGTTCCTCCTGGACCACCCCAATCTCAGCTTGCGCATCTTCTCAGCACGCCTATACTTCTGTGAAGAGCGCAATGCAGAGCCAGATGGGCTGCGGAAACTGCAGAAAGCAGGAGTGCGGCTGGCGGTGATGAGCTACAAAGGTAAGAGATTCATTCAAGCTTTTGCTGATTTTGTGGCATCCCTCATCCCTCATTTCACCCCTCAGCTCAAATTATAGGGATGCTCCAGACCTCGGCTAAGATAGAGGTAGGCAACCTTTGGCATTCCAGATCTTGCGGACTAAATCTCCCCTTTATTGCTCTTACAGCCCAAATGCTGACAAAGAGGTAGATTTCATTATTTGCTCTCTACAGCAATACACTAAGCGGATGATACCATTTATGGCCATACATTGTAGATAAGAAGTTGTCTTGTCTAGCATTTGAAATGGCTCATACACTGATGGAGCTTGACTCGAGGAAAATGTGAGTCTTATCACATTTAGCTAAATAATATGTCTTTCTTGTACTGAGTGTACTTATTGACAGGGGACATTCCACTTTACCAATGTTCACCCATTCCCCTGACTACTCTGAGAAACTACATTTAAAAAAAAAAAATTTTACTACACAAGTTGATACAGAACATAAAATTCAGTAACAAATGTTCACTAAGCAAATATATAACCTGTTAAAAAATCTTTAAAAAAAAAATATTTTCTCACCATACCATCCATGTCTTATTTTCTTCAGAACTTTACAGAAAGAGGTATCTTCTCCTCTGCAAATCTCATTCCCTGTCTGCATAACCAGATGAGTACTTTGTCTCTTTTAGATTATTTTTATTGTTGGAACACATTCGTGGAATCACGTGAAAGGAAATTTGAGGCTTGGGATGGGTTACATGAGAATTCAGTGAGATTGGCTCGAAAACTCAGACGTATTTTACAGGTGAGTTCTACAGAAGCAAAAAAAAGCCAAACATCCATGGATATTTATATGTTTATTTTAATTAATGATCATCCTTCTATGACTCCATTATCCCTCTCTCAGTAGTGAGGAACTCATATGTCCTCCTTTAGAACTTATGCTCTTCAACAGTTGAAAGCAGGGTAGTAGGATAGTAACCTCAAATGTAAAATCCAATAGATTAATTTAGAAAACAAAAATTGATCTTAATCCCCAAGTCATCTTGATCTTAAACCCCACTGCCACCATGGGCCACTCAATCCACAATGTTGACATCAGATGTAGATAGATTTGTGAACAATATTCGAGAGAAATAGGCCTTTTGTGTGCATAGAAAAAGTCTTAGATCTTTGAGTTCAGCTCATGAAAAATGGGGGCAAAAACTATTTTTTTGTGTTTAGAATTTTCTTTAGTGTAGTAAGAATGCTGCACATACAGAGATATATCCATTTTCGTGACCGGGCTAGTTACACCCCCAGCACACGTGACTTTGGCAGGCCAGAACTTTGTTCTGGGCTACCAAAAGTAAATTTTGTGAATATTTTACATCTGTCATCAGCACACACAGCACACTGGCAACAGACGTAAAGAGATTCTCCAATTACATTACATTAATAGCTGGGGGGGGGGGTTTAATGAAAATCCCTCCCCTCGTCAGCTCAGAGTGAGCATGCAGTCTGAGCCAGCGAAATGGTCCAATCCCAGACTTTTCTATCAGAAAGTCCTGTGATTGGGTCGCTCAAGGACTGCAGTGACATCAAATGGAGGATGGAGAACAGGGGCCGGTTCTGAATTACAGGTAAGTAAAAAAGTATTTTCACAGTTTAAGGGGGGTGGGTGACCTATGCCCAATAAGGCATTATAAAGAAAAACCCTTATTCGTTAAAAGGATTGGAGTAACCCAGTGTCTAAATTGTTAGCATTGAAGCAGAAACTATATTTTTCAGTTTTCCAAAATCTCTACTAGAATGTGCAAATAATGACCTCAATATATTATTTTTGGATACTCTGATAAAATTATTTAATATTTTGAAATATAGTTATATATTTTGATATTTTTTGTAATATTGATATATTTTTATATACACGATATATTGATATTTTTAAAGGGACACTTCACTGCCCAAATGCAAAACAAATAAAAACCACTGTTTAGTAGATATGCCTCCAATGAAAAATGCAAGCCTTTAATTGTGGATTTTTTCATTAGGGATATATCTAAAAACAGTATTTGCGAAAGTTGCAGATCCCTTGTCTGCAGCCTTTTCAAACTCTTCCCTTTCTAACCCCGCCCAGACTTTCTGTGTCTGTCCAATCACAGACTTCCCAATGCAGCTCGATGAGAAGTCTTTGCAAGGCAGGTGGTCTGAGCAATTGCTACATTCTGAGTTTAGCGCCACTGAGCTAACATCCTGCACGTATATACCCTCAGTAGGAAGAAGGAAGGGGTAAAATTCTATATTCAATTTAGGGTCATAAGTACAGTTTTACATTCAGAGAAATGAACTTGGCTATAACTTCAAAAGAAGCAAATTCCCAGATGTTGTAGGATTTACATTTCAAGCTATAATTGTTTCCTAAATCCATTCTTTTTAGCTGAGCTCCATTTACATTCGTCAGCTCTGATCTTGCTTAATTCAATCTTTTATGTTCACATTTGCCAGTAAATATTGCGAAATGCTGATTTAACCCCTTAAGGACACATGATATGTGTGACATGTCATGATTCCCTTTTATTCCAGAAGTTTGGTCCTTAAGGGGTTAATCTCGACTAATCTAATTTTAAAAAAAATCTTAAAATTAAGCCATCTAGAGTTTAGCTTTCCTTATTTCATAGTTTATTAACTCCAACATTCACCATCCCCTGTTCTCTTCACTATCAAATTCAGTAGATGTCTTTTACATTTGCGTTGTTGTCTCACAATCTACACTTTTTGATAATTCTCTCTGTCTTTCTTTCTCTTTTGTATTTTTACAGTTTTCCTTCTTTCTAGTTTTTCTTCATTTCTTTTGAACACTTTTTGTTCTCTCTTATCTCTCCTTTTCTATTTTCACATTTTTAATAATTTTTTGGTTTTCACTCTCTATCTATTCTTTCTGTTTCAGACTTCCTTCTCTATTTTTTTCCCTTCTAATTTTCTTTCTTCATTGTTTTATTTGCAAGTGTTCTCTCTCCATTAATTATTCCTATCTTTTTTTTTTTAATTACTCTTTATTAGAAAATTTTATTTTTAAGTTACATAGCAGTTCAAAAAGTACATACATACAATCATACAAAATACATCCGATTGATATAGATAAATCTTATTATATAAAAAGAATACTTTCATTAAAATATGACAATCAATCAGGAAAAAAAATAAAATAAAATAAAATACATAACAAGAATCAGGAAGTCGTTAATATAAAGTAAACAAAAATCTATAGCAAAATACTGAGAGGTATATCAATGAAAATAAGCGCCAAATTAGATACATGTTATCAATAATGTAAATTCAGCTACCCAAATAGAATTACATCATCCATAAGCACGTCACCTAAAAAATTTATAAATTACCATAAAGTAGAGAGCAGTTTTTTAACCAAGTTGAATACCAGTCTCTTTTTTTAGAGACCGCTGAACAATTTTTAACCATATCATTTTCCATTGTTAGTTGGAATTTAATTTGATTAATTAAGGAGATTTTTTGAAAAGGAACAGAAGATTTCCACTGTCTATCTATAATAATTTTAGCTGCAATAAAGCAGTGGATAGCTAAACAAATATGTTTATTAGATTTAAAAGGCCAATTCAGGTGGAGGAGGGCCGAAGCTGGATTTCTGTTTATCTCTTTAAAAGATACCTCATTCAAAGATATTTCGGAGAAGATATTATAGGCCCAGTCCCAGAGTTGTTTTACTACTGGGCAAAACCACCATTTATGGATATATGTACCCGAGTAGGTACCACATCTCCAGCAAGTAGGGTCTTGAGAAGTATACATTTTAGCTAGTCTTGTCGGAGTATAGTACCATCTGTGAAGTAACTTAAAATGGCACTCAGTCAAGTTTAGACCATGGACTGATTTATTTACTAGAATTATAGAGGAAGACCATTCCTTTGGAGAAATCACTAAGTTAAGTTCGTTTTCCCATGTTTTAACCAATTTATGGGGAAAGGTATCAAAACCTTTAAAGAGCAAATTAGCTACCAAAATAATCTTGGGTACAGTTTGAAATGAAAATAGAGTTTGCAATTCTTTAGCCCGAGGAAAAAAAGATTGGATAACATGTTTCTGGATATAGTGTTTGATACGAACGTATGTAAATATTTCTTTAGATGGTATATGGAGATTATTCACAATCTGTTGAAATGGTAGAATATTATCTCCCTGCATAATGTCCGATAAGGTTAATGTATCTTTGTTGGGCCAATGTCTCAGTGATAAATCCTCTACATTATTTTCTAATATATTTAATTTACATGTTCTAGGAATTAAATAACTTAAGCCCAAAATTTTCCTAATTTCGACCCATATTTCCAAAGAGTGAGCCAATGATATTAAACAATTAGGCAAATCCCTTAAGAGCTTCCCAGGATCTGACCATATATAAGAATAGAGACTAGATGCATGTAAAGCTTCGGACTCCAGAATATACCAAGGTTCAGAAAAAAAAGATGGTTCTTGTAAAATATAAATATGTCGTATAGTATTGGCATAGTAAAGATTAGTAATACTTGGAAAATTTAGCCCTCCATGGGACAATTTTTTGGAAATATATTTTTGACTTATTCTAGGCTTTTTATTTTTCCAGATAAATTTATTAATGGTGGATTGTATCATAAATAGCCACACCTTAGGGATTTTAAGAGGAACCATTGAAAACAAATACGACCATTTTGGTAAAATATAAGAATTTATAATATTAATCCTACCTGTCCATAATGTTTCTAAGTTTTTCCATTTTTTTAGGTTTTGATTCATATTTTTCATTAACTGCATAACATTCCTCTCCATTATATGGGAGGTGTTAGCAGGGAAACTAAGGCCCAAATAATTAATTTCTGAATCAGTCCAAATAAACTGATATTTTTGAGATAGCCTTTCAACCTGAGTCAAAGATAGATTGATAGTTAAAGCAGTAGATTTTGAAACATTTAACTTGAAGTTGGAGATATTAGAAAAATTAACAATTTCTTCCATTAGTGCTACCAATGAATCTTCTGGAGATGTAAGGGTAACCAAAGCATCATCGGCATATAATGCAATTTTAATGTCTTGAAGTTTCGTAAAGACCCCCTTTATTAACTGATTATTTCTAATATTAACAGCAAGAGGTTCAAGAGATAAAATATAGAGAAGCGGTGACAAGGGACATCCCTGTCTTGTTCCATTTTTAAGGTCAAACCAAGTCGAAGTAATATTGGGACCTACAGTTCTGGCCGAAGGAGCAAAATATAATACCATAAGCCATATGCCTTAAGAAGTTCTCTTAAATAGCCCCACCCGACCCTGTCGAACGCTTTTTCTGCGTCCAAAGACAGGGCCAGGAGGGGCTCATTATGAACTTTAGCTAAACCAATAATATCTATGAGCTTTCGGGTGTTATTTGATGCCCATCTTCCTGGGATGAACCCTATTTGGTCTGGATGAATAAGTTTAGTAATAACAGTTTTCAATCTCTCGGCAATAATAGCTGAGTATATTTTCATATCAACATTAATTAATGCGATCGGTCTATAATTTCTTGGGTCCGTACTATCTTTGCCCGGTTTTAAAATAGGGACAATATTTGATTGTAATAATTCCTTTGGTATGACCTCATTTTCTGCTGCTTGATTAAACATTTCAGTAAGGGGTTTTAGAAGATACGATTTCATATATTTATAATATAGATTTGTAAAGCCGTCAGGGCCGGGAGTTTTATTTGTGGCTAATCTATCAATTTGAAATTGCACTTCTTCTGGAGAAATTTTTTTATTCAGATTGGTCAGATCCTGGGGAGAAATTCTCGGGATTTGGGTATTCAATAGAAAACTCTTAATGTCCTTTAATTCTGGGGACAAGCTTAGATTGTACAAATCTTGATAGAACTGATTAAACTTTTGTCCAATCTCCGATGGAGAGGAGTATACAATTTGATCTACTACCAATTTTTCTACTCTATTTTTGGCATATTGATTACGAAGCCTCCTGGTTAGACTTTTACTCGCTCTGTTGCCCGAAATATAGTGATTTAATTTTAGTTTATTTATATTTAACTTGATTTTTTCCTCTTCTTTTAGATTAATTTGAATTTGTAGGTCTTTTAGATGAGTTCTCAGCTCAAGAGAAGATTGTATTTTATTCATTTTAGAGTATGAGTAGAATTCAATATATAAATCAGGCAATTTTGTACCATTATTTTTCTTAAGGAAGTGGTCTATTTTAATTATATAACCCCTCATTACGGATTTATGAGAACACCAATTTATTAACGGAGAAGTGTCTCGTGGATTATTTTCTGCCCAAAAATATTCTAATAATTTGGTCAAATCCTCCCTATGCTTGGAGTAATTATTCCTATCTTATCTTATTCTTCTATGACAGCCTCCATATGACATGGAAGATGTCCGAGAGGCCTTTGATCTCCTTGGACTCTGAACTTGAAAATTATCCTGCGTATAAGAACCAAACAACAGCTGTGACACAAAAATGAGAAAACTGAAGGTGCTTTGCATCTCAGACTCGAATCCTAATAAAACAAAGGAACAGAAGCCACTCTAGATCCAAGACCAAACACAAACTGTACCAGTCAAAGAGTAAACTCAGATCCACTAAAATTAGTGTCAAAATCTAGACAATTTCATGCCACAATTGTGACCAAAGACCCCATATAATACCATATAACTATCTACAGTTTGCTAAATGGTAGCCCGTATTAGACCCAAAATCAGATCAAGATTGAGATTACATACGAGTTAAATATAGGTGCCCCAACAGAACCATCAGTTGATTCACGCATTATAGCACTTCAGATTAAGATCACCAAAATCAAGGACAACACCAGAACCAAGGCTAAAAGAGAAATAGAGTCCACAACAAAGCAGTGATTCATCAAAGTCAAGAATCAACACAAAATCCATGGGTCTACATCAGGTCCAAAACCAGAAGCAACACCAGAACTGAGACTGAAACTGGACCTAGGATGCAAACGAAAATATAAGGCCAAAACCATGATCATAGTTGGTTCCAGAAAGAAGATATACATAAATTAAGTCTACTTTAAGGCCCATAAAACTGGTCTACATTCCACAGCAGAATCAATAACAATATTGGTATATAATTCCCATCCAAAGAACTATGACACAGAGTCCACACAAAATAAGATCCAATTTTAAACTCCAAATGTTAACTCTGTGGAGGTTCCAAAACCCCACCTAGGGTCCACAAGTAAAACATGTACCAAATCTAATGTTTTCACTAGAATTGATACCAAAACCAGACCAATATTAAACGTACAATGGGGACAAACACGAGATAACCCCTGAACATGAATCCAGAGAAAAACTATAGTTAAATGACATCTGGAGTTACTACAACAAACATAAATGGGAGAAATTTCACATACGACTTGAAAGCAGAAACAAAACTCAGACCAGCTCTCAACGCAACCTTCAAGAAACAAAGTCAGATTTCATATCACTACAAGTATACAATGAAATAGATAGTTTAACAGACCTCCTTAATACCGGACATCTTGCAATCATTTAATTTGCATTAATAAAGCATTAATAAATATTTTATCTAATCACAGATCCTGTCACTTAATACTGATTGTTTTTCACATGTACAGTATACATATAAAAAAAAATATGCACATAATGTGAACTGTATATTGTGGGCAAATAATGCCATTGGGTGTATGACATACATTATAACTATGAGACTGACATTTAAGTGATTTAGAAGATAGCTTCAGTTCACTATACATAACACATATATATTGTTTTAAACCTCTAGGATAATGCTGTAAACCAAGTGTGTCCAACCCTAAGCCCAGTGGTGTATCCTGGTTATGTGCTGCCCTAGGCAAGGCTAACAAGACATTTGCCCTGGGCGCCCCCTGGAAAATGCCGCCCAAGGCAAATGCCTTGTTTGCCTCACGGCTAAAACGTCCCTGCCTCAACCCCTGGGCTGCATTCGGCCCTGAACTGATTCTAATGCAGCTCAGTTGCAGTCTGGGCTGAAGGGCGGCTAGGGAGGCAAAAAGCCCATTACTTACTGTGCTATTTCTGCACAGCTTCCTAGCGCGCTCTGCAGTTAGCTTGCTGCTGGGATATGACATCATCCTGGTATTGGCATCAATACTGGGGACGCTAGGAACCTATGCATTATGAGCACTGTGATCCCATCCCAGTAGCAAGCACAGGCCACCAAGAGAGTATCCACTCCAGCCCTCCCAGAGCAACGTAGGGAGGTTGGGTGGACCTCTTAATTACTAAAGAATGTGATTTTTGTGTGTGTATGCCAGTAATTATGTGTGTATGTTATTGCGTGTCTGTGATTGTATGTGTGTGAGTCTGTGATTGTGTATGTCTGTGATTATGTATGAATATGTGTGTGTATGTCTGTGAGAGTGTGTATGTCTGTAATTGTGTGCGTAACTGTGTGTATGTGTGTGTCTGTGATTGTGTATGTGTATGTCTGTGATTATGTGTATGTCTGTGATTATGTGCATGTCTGTGATTGTGTGTATGTCTGTAATTGTGTGTGTGTTTAAGTCTGTGATTGTATGTGTGTATAGGTCTGTGATTATATGTGTGTGTGTGTGTGTGTGTGTGTGTGTGTGGTTATGTGTATATGTATTTACATGTGTTTGTGTTTAGCAGATAGCTCCCTAATTTGATATCCTTAAATATGGCAATCCAACATAAGGATAACAAATAAGGAAGTTATCTACTAAACAAATGAAATATCAAAATTAAGAAAAGGACTTTTGAGGTTTTATTATATGAATTAATTATATATTTTATATACGGTCCAAGACAATATGTTTTCGCTCAGGGTGGCACAGGAAAGCCAAAAGGTTGGACATCCATACTTTAAGTATTTCATGTAATGAATGGATAATAATGGACAGATCACCTTAGTCCATTCTGGAGACTCTAATCTGGGACAGATGTCCTGTTGTGTCTGAGATTAGTCAGAGTTACAGTCTGTGTGGCCACCATTTCTTTGGCTACAATTTGTATGCCTGCCAGCTGGAACTGTAACTCAAACTAATCTGAGGCAGCCCTAGACCATGCATGTCCCAGAGCTGACTTTACAGCAATGTCCTGCCCTTAACCCTTACACTACCCTAACACACTATGCGAAACATGAACCTTTACACTACACAAGAATATTACTAAATCTTAACCACTACACTGCAATATCACTAAACATTAAAACCTGCACTACACTAACACTATCACTAAACAAAACCCCAACACTACATCACAATATCACTAAACATTAAAGCCTGCACTACACTAACACTATCACTAAACGTTGACCCCTACACTACACTACAATATCCCTAAAAATTAACCTCTATACTACACTAATACAATCACTAAACATTAAAGCTTGCACTACACTATCACTATCACTAAACATTAACCTCTATACTACATTAATACAAACACTTAACATTAAAACCTGCACTGCACTAACACTATCACTAAACATTAAACCATACACTACACTAATACTATCACTAAACATTAACCCCTGCACTGCATGATAATATTGTTAAACCTTAACCACTACACCACAATATCAATATCCTTTACACTACACTAATACTATATATTAACCCCTACATCACATATGAGAATGACACTAAACCTTAACCACTACACTAGAATATTACCAAACATTAATCCCTACACTACACTAATATATGACTAAGCATTAACCACTAGATTACACCACAACACTACAATATCACTAAACATTTACCCCTACACTACACTAGAATGTCACCAAACCTTAAAGCGGCACTGTCATGGCCGAATCTCGTTTTTTTTTGTAACCCCCCTCCCGCCTCCACTACATCTAACTGACCCCCTAGCCAAATTACACTTACTATTTAATGTCTTCTTTAATAACCCGAGGCAAAAAAAAATAAGCCATCTTCACCCCAGACTGAGCTTATAAAGCCTTGCCCCGCCCTGCAATTAGGCTAAGAACACTCTGATTGGTGGGTTTAAGCCAATCAGAGTGCTTTGTGTCATTTTACACAGTGTGGGAAAGTTCTTTGGAATTTTCCCACGCTGTGTAATTTGACTCATAACACTCTGATTGGTGGGCTTGGAATCTAACCAATCAGAGTGCTCTTTGTCATTTTACACAGCGTGGGAAAATTCCAAACAACTTTCCCACGCTGTGTAAAATGACACAAAGCACTCTTATTGGATGGATTTCAAGCCACCCAATCAGAGTGCTCTGTGTCATTTTACACAGCGTGGGAAAGTTCTTTGGAATTTTCCCACGCTGTGTAAAATGAAAAAGAGCACTCTGATTGGCTTAAACCAGCCAATCAGAGTGTTCTTAGCCTAAATGCAGGGCGGGGCAAGGCTTTATAAGCCTTCCCCCGCCCTGCAGAGCTCAGTCTGCGCGGAGCCCTCCATGGGTGAAGATGGATTATTTTTTTTGCACTCAGGTTTTTTCTTTTTTGTCAGGTTTTTTTTTTTGCACTCAGATTTTTTTATTTTATTTTAAGTTCAACGGGTATGGTGGTTTTTTATTTGGCCTTTTTTGGGTCTGAAATATGAAGATTTTAGAAAAAAGAAGATGTCAAATGGGGGAGATTTGTCTTAGGGCCCCCACCCGCTGCCCAGGGGTGGGGGCCGGGGGGCGGGGAGAACAGTAGGTTCCCCCCCTCATTATCTTTATGGCCCCCACCCGCCGCTCAAGAGTGGGGGCCGGGGGGGAGGAATGTAGGTCCCCCCATTGTAATTTATGGCTCCCACCCACCGCGCAGGGGTGGGGGCGAGGGGGTGAGGACAGTAGGTGCCCCCATTGTAATTTATGGCCCCCACCCACCGCTCAAGGGTGGGGGCCAAGGGGGGAGGACAGTAGGTTCCCCCCATTGTAATTTATGGCCCCACCCACTGCGCAGGGGTGGGGACCGGGGGGAGGACAGTAGGTCCTCCCCCCTCATTATCTTTATGGCCCCCACCCACCGCTCAAGGGTGGGGGCCGGGGGGGAAGACAATAGGTCCCCCCATTGTAATTTATGGCCCCCACCCACAGGCTGCTCACTGCTTAATAGACATGCCCCTACTCGCGGTATAGCGAGTAGGGGCATATTATTTACTAATACTAAGTAATCTTTACTTAGTATTTGTAAAGTTGTCTGAAAGACCAATTTAAGTCTTTCAGCCTTTTGGAAGATAACTCCCTAATACTGTGGGAATTAGGGAGCTATCTACTAAGCGGCTGCAAGATGGTAAGAATTATGGGAAAATTGCTTTGACCAGCGGAAATGAAGCACACTTTGCTCCTCCGCTGGTCAAAGCTGGTCAAGCGGAGGAAACCTCCATAAGGCAAAGAGTCCCTACTTTGTCTTATGATTTAAAAAAAAAACTAAAGAAGACAGGAAGAAAAGAAGAACAGATCCTGAGAGGGGGAGAAGAGGAAGAGATTGAGGAAAGGTAAGTTCGGCATGACAGCGCCGCTTTAATCACTACACTAGAATATCAGTAAACATTAACCCCTACACTAAAACTATCACTAACTATTAACCCCTACACTACATTACAATATCACTAAACATTATATTCTACACTACACTAATAATAGCACTAAACACTAAACATTAACTCTTACACTACATTAGAATATCACTAAACTTTAAGCACTACACAAATTTTATCACTAAACATTAACCATCACACTACAGTATTGCTAAACATTACACTACACTAATACTGTCACTAAACATTAACCCCCTTCAATACACTAGAATATCACCAAACATCAACCACTACACTACAATATATCTAAACATTAACCCCACACTACTCTAATATTAACAAACCTAGCACTTACACTAGCAATAACCCTAACCTGATAATATGTACATAAATTAAGAAATATTCAAAGCAGTGAAGTGTGTATTATTGGAAAATAATGCCATCTCAGGGATTTGGAGACATTTATAAATCCCTTGCTCATCAGTCTTTATAGGTTTATAATATGTCTCCTAAACTTCTCGATGGTATAGATATAGTGGAACCTCGGAACTCGAATGGTCCCGTTCTCGAACAATTCGAAAGTCAAACTAAACTTTTGAGTAAAAAATGTTTCAGAACGATCCTCGGTACCCGAACACATCATGCTGCATTCAACTCTATGGTTGTTAGTATGACACATCGCCATTCTGTTAGGAAACAGCTCTCTTCTCTAAGCAAACAGCTCCATTCTGTCGGCAGAGCTCCATTCTGTCAGCAAACAGCTCCATTCAGTCAGCAGAGCTCCATTCTGCCCGCAAAAGCTCAATTCATTCAGCAGAGTTTCATCTAGTCAGCAGAGCTCCATTCAGTCAGCAAAACTCCATTCTGTCAGCAGAGCTCCATTCAGTCTTCAAATAGAGTTCAATTCAGTCTTAAAATAGAGCTCCATTCTGTCTTCAAATAGAGCTCCACTAACTCTTAAATAAATTTCATTGAGTCTTCACACAGAGCTTAATCCAGGCTGCAAAAAACTCACCATGGGTTCAATTCAGTCTTCCAATAGAGTTGCATTCAGTCTTCAAATAGAGT